CTGAACCGCACACAGTGCGCTGCTATCACACAGCTGCATGCGAACGAGACAAATCTGTTATAGCAGGGTTGCCTGAGTTCTGAACTGCTAGCATATATTTATTGTAAGCACTGGAGTATTTAATGGGAGAGTATATCATAGTGTTCACACAAATGATCTAAAACAAAACCCGCAACAGTATAGATCAACGTGTGGGTCTTGGAACATAAAAGTATCTCTTTCTAAATAATGATTTACAGACAATTTTCCAAGACACCACCATCACGCAGGTATCCAACTCCCAGTGACTTTCAGTGGGAGATACTGTGATTCTGTCTTTCCAAATGCTCATCATCAGTACTCCACTAAGGGGGAAATTCTCTGTGTCATCAAGAGCAGCCAGGCACCCAGCTCCCAATGAAGGGGCTGGGGATTTGGTATCTGACCACCTTAGTGACTTGGAGAATATACTCCTCAGTGGATGGCTGACAAACATCTGTAAAGTCAGGCTCACCCTGACAGCCATGGACAGGGCCTGACTTGCAGAGATGCAGGGCCCCGAGCTCTGGCTGCTCAATTCCTATGAAAACAGGGCTCTGACTCATTTATTAGTGCAGAAATTGCTATCAGTCTCCTGTCAGTCTTCTCCATGGTCACATCTACGTGATTCATTCATTTTGTTTCCAGCGTCCATCTTTTCTCCACCTCCTCTCCACCAGTGCTGACAAATCTACTGACCTCCTCATCGTTTTCTCCCCTCCTGCACGCATCTAGGCCCCACCATATGTTGTCAGTCCTTCCTATACAAGTACTGTAACATCCTTCCTTTCTGCTCCATCCCAAGGCCATTCACCTTGGGCCTGGACTACTACAGCCTCCTCTTCCTTGGCTTCTCTTCAGCATCTTACCTCGCCTCAGTCTATTATAAACCCTGTGGCTTCCCCCCTTGCTCTTCTGATCACATCGCTACCCGACTTAAATCTTTTTGTCTTTTCATATCAGGTTCATGCCTCTGGTGCTCACATGAAGGACCACACCAAACTCCACTCTTTCTATCCTCCCAATTTCAACTTCAGTTTTCCAGACTGCCCCCTGTCCTTGGACTTCCCTCCTCTTTCCCACGTGGCAAACAGCTCACTTCGTTTAGATCACTCCAGGAAAGTGATTTGCACGGTGAAGCAATCAGTCTTTGTAACCCCGAGAAAGTAGTGGGGCAGCCCCCGGCGGCACAACATGGGCAGTCTGGAGGCTGTCTTGGAAAGAGGCTATTTTTGCATATGAGCCCAGGGTGCAGCGGCTTTAAGCAATGTTCACATATCAGCACATTGGTTTCTCTCTACTGGATGGGTCTGATTTAAACAGAAAACCCACAGGGGCAAGGATCACTCCCTCTTCACACCTAGAATAGCATGAGAACACTCTTGATGCACAACAGTATTAATCAGGCCTTGCCTACACTGGAAAGCATTATTACTAGTTATATTAATATAACCCCCATAATTAACTGCTTATTCCAGTTTAGCTTCCATTTGTTTCTAGATGATATAAGCTAACCTGAAAAGGCCACTCTTTTGCCAGGGTCAGAATATCCAGGGAGAGGGTTATAAACTGATACACTTGTACTGGTAATTTCACACCTCGGCTTATATCAGTTGGTGCCAGCCTTTCAAATGGTCCAGCCTCCAGTGGAAAACCCTGTATGAACTTCCATACGTGGGTGGAAGCATGTTTCTGTTAAAATGCTGTGGTAGGCTATCAAATAAGCAGTATGAGATGATTAACACTGGCTGACACTCTGAGATCCTTTGGCATTTTATCTAGCTGCAAGGGACAAGAATCTTAACCAAAGGCCCAGTTCTCTCCCTGGGAGTGCAGAACTGCCTGTTCACTTACTCCATAACCCCAACACTCTCCACTTTGTGGCTAGGTGATCAATGCAGAGTGCAGACTAATCTCTCCTCTCCTGTTATCCCTGAGGTTTCCTCTCCTCTAGTGCGCAGGAAAGCTCTGAAGAGCAGAGGGGATGAATAACGTTTTGTGAGCACGTTATGCATGGCTGTGGCCCTGCGTGACACAGGACACTGGGCAAGATGGACCTCTGGTCTGACTCAGTACATGGCTGGCAATTCTTATGTCCTTATGGTTTCCCCAATTCCACTCTGGACAGTGGAACCCACTAGTTGTATTGGTTTCTCTGGGGCCCACACATGGTGAAGAAAATTCAGGTCCTGACTGCTGACAAAAAGGTCCTTACAGAGCAGTTTGTTTGCATGCAGAAGAGGAGTTTACTCTATGAGAGGTCAAGGGAGACATGCATTCAAACAGCAGTCCCTTCTCAGAAGGGACTGATCAGTGGAAAGGGGAAGGGAGGGGGCAAAATCCCACCAAAAACAACAGGACCATCTGCCATTTACCTTTCTTATTCCAACCAGTCTGACAGGGAGTTCCCTCCAGTTCTTGTTTCTCAGGAAGGGACATGGAAAAGCACTGCTGCACAGAACACAGGCACAAAGAACTGTACAATTAAAAAGAGAATCAAGCATCCTTACCCTTGTTCTGTCCTCAATGTCATAGATGCGAAGCTGCATGGGAACATTAAAGCTATGCAGGATATTTCCACCAAACACCAGAGAATCTACTGGAGTATAAACTGCATGTATCCACCCTAGGGAGGGAAAGCAAAGAACTGAGAATGCCTCATGCTATGTCGGATCACAAAACACTTTACAATCAAATTCTCACAACCCTCCAGGAGGAAGGAAAATATCACTGTCCCCATTCTACAGCTGGAAAAACTGAGACAATTACAAGGTTAAAGATTACCTCAAGGTCACATATCAAAACTGTGGTATCAGCAGGAAGGGGCTGGGAGAGATTAATGACATCCACAGAACAGTTATACTCTGGGCAGAGGCTAAGCAAACTCTATCAGTGTGACTCAACCATGCTCCACAGATGGGAAGGTAATTCAGTCTCTTGGCCTCTCCTTATCCACCACAGCAAGGGCGCAACTCAGGTGAGGAGTGGTGGCAGGTGCATGAGGTGGCAGTGGACTGATACGCGTCACACTTGTTTTCCGCAGGCCCTACAGCTGCCAGCAGAGGATAACGATTTCAGGTTGCTGCCCAGCGTTATCTAGAGGTGAGAGCTCTGCGCCCCATTCTCAGGGCAAGTGAAATGCACGCCCTGACTTCATGGATTCAATGTTTCTCTAACTGCAGCTGATGAGACTGCTAGTAGCCTGATCCTGCAAGGGACTGAGTTCCCTGCAGGGACTCCAAGGGGAGGCGAGGATGCTCAGCATCCAAAGAGACAGCACGCAGCAGTTCAGGCAGTGAGACCCCCACAAGTTCCTTCCTCTGCAATATCAGCTTGGCATGGCACCCACTGAAGCCTAGGCTACACAGGACCGTGGGCTCTGCTCTCCGCTGTGATAAAGGAACTCATCCTGCTGATGATCAAAGACCCATGGAGGCAGCAACATGACATTTTTCTTTTCTTTTCTTTTCTTAATAATAAGCATTTCCACCATTGTGAAGCCCAGCCATGCAAGGGGCTGCCACTGTCTTCCTAGCTACACAGTTTCTATTAAGTCTGCATTCACGTCAGGACCAGTGAGGCAGCAGGAAAATGCCACTCAGCCTCAAGGACTCTCCTGCTCTCACGTATAAAAGCCTTTCTTTTACCAGTGCCTACAAACCATGCAAACCTCCTGCTTTAAGCAAAGAAAGTCCCTGAGCCACTGACTATGGCAGAGAACTGCTCATGGTGCTTCCACTGAAAAGCATTTGGGAGGAGAGAGGGAGAGAAAATGAAATAAAAAAAAACAGCAAGTTAAAATACTCTTGTGAAGAACACAAAGCCCTCACTCCTGGTACATTTTTCTGCCTTTACAAATCTAATTCCACAAGATGAATGTAATGAAGAGAAAATTACAGGCGCCCAATGGTTCTGGCAACTCTGGATATTACAGCATCTTTCCTACAATAGTCATTTTAATTTCAGTCGCTGAGTTACTCATGACCAACAAGCATGTTTATCACCTCTAAAGCAAACTGGCTTCCTTCCTTTCTCACAGAGGCAGATACTGCAAGAAATGGATTCCTCAGTTTGGGGCACGTGTATGTGAAGAAGCACTGAAAAAGCTGGGTGACTCTGCAGTCCAAGCAACAGACTGGGATACCACCTTGAACTTTATCGACAGCAACTGGCTACAGGAGATTTTGGCACTGGCAGTGGCATTTGGTGAATGCATGCAACACTATAAAGCCACTATGCAAGCAGATGAGGGCAGTGCATCACGTAAAATACATCAGAGAAACATCCAGATGTACTTTAAAAAAAATGTTGTAAAAATAAATAATCTTCTTTGCCTTGATCTACATGGAAGCGAGAGATATCCTAACCCAAGCCATAGAGTCTGGGGTTACTGCTCTCAACAGATAATCAAGGACTTGTGATAGAAGAATAGGCGGTTCGGGTCAGTATCTACCACCTTCCTGAAGCTGACATGCTGGGTTGAATAAGGTTGTCTGTACCTGGCAATTTAGGGTCAATTGGCTGGGTGGCTGTGGTATAATCAGCCCCATTTTACAGTCTGGGAAAACTGAGGCTCAAAGAAGTAGAAAGATCCGCCCGGTCACAGAGCAAAGCAGTGGCAGACATGGGACTCTTGGATTCTCGTCCACCCTCTCAGTTCCCTGCCATACCCAGCAGTGAGGCCTCCTCATCACAGAGAACATCCTGCTTCAAGGGATGTAAGAAGGATGTGGAGAAGCTTGAGAGAGTCCAGAGAAGAGCCACGCGCGTGCTCAGAGGTCAGGGAAGCAGACCCTACGATGACAGGCTGAGAGCCCTGGGGCTCTTTAGCCTGGAAAAGCGCAGGCTCAGGGGTGATCTGATGGCCACCTATAAGCTTATCAGGGGTGACCACCAGTATCTGGGGGAACGTTTGTTCACCAGAGCGCCCCAAGGGATGACGACTAGGTCAAATGGTCATAAACTACTACAAGATCGTTTCAGGCTGGACATAAGGAAGAATTTCTTTACTGTCCGAGCCCCCAAGGTCTGGAACAGCCTGCCACTGGAGGTGGTTCAAGCGCCTTCATTGAATGCCTTCAAGAGCAAACTGGATGCTTATCTTGCTGGGATCCTATGACCCCAGCTGACTTCCTGCCCTTTGGGCGGGGGGCTGGACTCGATGACCTTCTGAGGTCCCTTCCAGCCCTGATGTCTATGAAATCTATGAAAATAGTGGAGACAATTGCGGTAATGAGGGATTTTAGAGAGCTGTCAATCTTCTTTTAAATTTGTTGTCAGAGACTTATGGCTCTAATGTAGAAAGAAATTCACTGAGCTGAAACTTGGCTCCATATTCAGCAGCCCAGAGGGTGGTGAGCTTCTGGCTCTCAAATTTTATAAGGAGTATGGAAATATTCCATTTTAATTAAAGGAGTACAAAAACACAAAGAGTTCGCCCATTTTTGATGCAACCATATACTGCACCTTGCAAGGGGCCTGGCTCACCTAAATTATGTCTCCTCAGGGAGAAACCTACAGTGGAGAACCACTAATTGCATTATTACTCCCCTTTGGTCTCATCTTCTCTCATTTGACCTCTTATCCTCAGCCCCAATAGATGTTAAAGGCCCTCGTATTAATGATCCCCAAACTCACTAGGCAGTTGCCCCTAATATAATTAAGTGACAGCTCCAGACAAGTGACTACTGACTGTTAGGTCAATGCTCCAGTGAACAATGCCCCAGGCACAATAAATCCTTAATGGAAACATTACTGACAAGGGTGTAAACAGTGTTTATTTTCAAGTCTGTCATAGGAAAAAGTCAGGAAAATGTGAACTGGTAAGCAGCTCCCCAAATTCTCAGAGGCAGCATCTGCTTTTGTGAGTAAGTTACCCATCTTATTATCAACATTTGGGCCTGTAGTCGTCGAAAGCAAAATCGGTCCTGCTAAAGGTCTTCTACATATAGCTGGGCTGAAGATGCTAAAGCCAGGTTTAATATCAGCTTTTTTACGATACCCCCATTTTTGCCTAAAAAACAAGAAATGGCTGGAGTGCTGGTAACAAGATTGAAACCACACAGCACTGAAACCCATCACAACTAGAAAAAAAGCCACAAGGCAGGCGACACTGGGGAAGGTCTGCTGGTAAAATACAAGAGAGCTGTCAACCTGTAGGGCCGTAGAGCAGCAGTGCAGTAGCCGGGGTCCATGCTGCCCCCCTGGACTCCCTCTGGGCTCTACAGCAGTGCGAGCCCTTGAAGGAACCACACACTGATGGAAATCTGCATTCATGGAAATCTGTACCTCTTCCTGCAGCCAGCTAGCTCCCCTGGCTAAAAGAAGGGGAATAAAGCCATGGCCATGCTCCCCTTTGGACCCTCTTAGCTCTTTTCCTACACCTCATGCTCGTAAGGAGGAAGAAGAGACTAACTATACTCTCCTCCCACTGGACTCCAGCCAGCCCCTGCAGAGGAAGCAGAAAAGGGAAGTGTGCCCTCCTCTTTCACACGTACCAAGAGAATGGCCCAACCTGACCCCAATGCAGGGCAGCATCTCTCAACTGTACTGCATCTCTCATACTGTACTTCAGGCCTGCTTCAGCAATGCCATTATGGAGCTGAAGACAGGATGGAGAAGCAGCTGTGAAGAGATATGTACAAGGGAGAAGAGAAGTTTACCTAGTAAAGATGGAGAACAGACAAGTACTAAGACCCAGGAAGAATGGTCCAGGCGGGTGGCATCTGCAGAGACAAAGGTTCCTACACTAACACCGATCAGCGTGTGTACAGGGAGAGATAGCGAAGGTCCATGCTGTGAAAGTGGAAGGAATCAGGTGGACAATACCAAGAGGCAAGCTGTAAACAGGAAACTCTTTTTACAATTCCTGACTCTAGTAATCTGGGGAAATAAGCTCAGAGAACATGCAAGCTCAGCAGATACGTTTGATTCATTCTACAGCTCAGATACCAGCGGGGCTCTGAGACCACTGTGAAGATGCATGTTCTGGGTAACAGTTTGTCAACGAGCACCTGAAGCAGCCTTCTGAGTATGCAAACTCCGATGTGCATCACCCACACAAGGTACAGTTTAAACAGGAGGATGGTCTTCCTGAGCGGGAGAACATCATAAAGCTGCAAACATGTAACAGGGGCAAAATACGAAGACAGTGGGCCTTATCATCCAGTGCCACAAGCCACTACATTTCTCTTTGTCCTCCCATGATGTGTGTGTCACCAACATCCTCTGCTGGGTGGACACAGGTGACCCTGACCCCACACATGAGACAGAATATCAGAACTGCGCATGTGTTTGAGCCTGCTGACTTCTAATGGCTAGATACCGCTAGGCAAGCCGCAGCACAGGCAGCTCTGAAGTGTGTGTTTAATCAATTCTCTCCTTAGTGGCTGCAGTTTCCTGGGGACAAAAGCTCTGGTACTACTTCACAAGCATGCATGTTGCTTGGGTTACTGCTACTTATGAGATACTATCTGCCCCTCTGCAACAATCTTATAAAAGCAGAGCACACCAAAAAACTTAGTGAAATCCATTTTATCTTTGATGCTACAATAGCATGGAACTAATATGAGAATAAAGGGATTAAGGACTGAAAAATCAAAATAGGGGGAGTAAGTTATAGCTTGG